CTCTCTCTCTCTCTCTCTCTCTCTCTCTCTCTCTCTCTCTCTCAATCATGCCATTTCATAACATAAGAGTCAAATTCACTCTCTTTCACCTGGAAAGCTGTAAACTAAATTGTACCAATGGCAGACAGACTGTGGAACAGGTAATAATAGTGTCGAATAGAAAAGAGTATTGAGCATTGGTCCTTTCCATAAGTTTCCATTTTCTTTGAATATTTGTTGGTTACCTTGTAAAAGCAAACCAGAATATGAATATGCCATCATTCATGTCGTAGTTTATAAACAATGCAGTAACTTGATCAGGGTTGAGTTCGATTGTGAAGTTGCTTAATAGAAATTTGTATTCATGCATATGAGCTCTCTCTCTCTCTCTCTCTCTCTCTCTCTCCAAAAAAAAAAAACGAACAACTTTCTCTATCTTCAAATGCCCAATGCCCCAATCTATTAAGAAGACAGCAAGGGAAGAAGCGGTTAGTGCGCCTCCAGAAAGCATCTCTCTCTGAAAACATGGAACTTCTCCAAGAGACACCACAAAGGGAAATAAGCTCCCCCTAAATCAGTCAAAATATATTCAACAGTTAAACTATCATAGCACAACCTAAAATGTATTGAAAATGGACTAGAAGTAAATAGAAACCCTTTGAAACATTAGCACTGAGATATCTGCTTTTATATGAATCCATGACAATACATTGTAAAGGGTAGCAATGATAGTCTCAAAAATTCCCTACAGAACTCTGTGTATAGTGATGTATTAAATAATGGGAAAACATTTATATTGAGCCTAGGCTCTAGACAATCAAATTAGAGCCCACCTCAAAAATTTCACTAGAGGAGGCTGTTTTGATGCTCAAATATCCTCAAAATGGTTAAAATTAAGTATATCTATATATGAAAATAGTGCATCTTGTAATTCAAAATAAATTTCAAGCTTTAAATTTTATAATTAAATATGAAAATATATTTTAAAACTATCACAAAGATTTCTAGTATTGAAACCATATTTCTTGACACTATTTGAAGGTGCGTTTTATTTTGATTGTTTAGAGCCTCGGCTCTATACAAACTGCAGCCTTAAAGAATATACAAGACGAGCAGTAACAGTAGGTATTGAGTCTTAGGTATGGAACGCAGCAACTTGAGTTTTAGTTGGAGAGAGAGAGAGAGAGCATGACCAGAAGGCTTGGATCGACTGGAGCCTAATTTTGGCATAGGTCTCCAAAAATCTATGGGTCTGATACCATGATAGAGTCAAATATTCTGTAGAGAACTCTCTATATATTGGTGTATTAAAAAATATATGAGACCAGTATAAACCCAGTCATGACACTCATAGAAAAATAAGAATGACACATATATATCAAGGACACCTACTCTTATTATAAACAAGAGATACATATCAAAGACACCTAATCAAAAGATACACAAGAGATATACTTTCTATACGATATCAAGGAAAACTCCAGAGAAGCCCAAATTTCTCAACATCTAACCAATTCTCTACCTGGCATAGATACCAGAACTAGAGTTTGTAACATCAGATGAATCCCAATCCAAAGAAGAAGAAAGAATCCTAGAGAGAGACAATAAGACATCAGAAATATCAGGTCGAGAACCCAAATCTTGTGAATGGCAGGTCTTAGCCAGCTGAGCCATGGTGAGTGCCAAATCCAAGGGGTAATCCTCTCCCAAACTAGGATCCATCAGGCTCCTAAGGTTCTCTCTGGCATTTTCTCTCTCTAGCAATGGCACCACGACTGTTGACAAAAGCACATCCCTTTCTCTCTCTTCATCCTTCTCCAAAATTACAGCTTCCTGACCAGTGAGAAGCTCAAGCATCACCACCCCAAATGCATAAACATCAAGCTTTGGAGTAATAAGGCCATGTTCAAGATACTCTGGTGCTAGGTATCCTTGAGTACCCGAAACATGCCTGGTTAAAACCAACCCTGAATCTCTCTGGTTTTCTACAGTTCTTGCTAAGCCAAAATTAGCAATCTTCGCCCTGAACTCACCATCCAAAACAACATTACTGCTCTTGATATCTTTATGAACGTAACCAGGACTCGCGTAATTGTGAAGATAATGGAGTCCATTTGCTATATCATGAGCAATCTGCACCCTTTGCTTCCAAGCCAGACCAGAGAACCTCTCCCTCCCATGCTTTCTTTCTCTATGAACCCAATCACTGAGAGAACCATTCTCTGCAAATTCATAAACCAAGTATGTATTCCCTTGATGTACACAAAATCCAGACAATCTTACAATGTTCGAGTGATTTATCGTCTTCAATATACTGATTTCAGATGAAGCGTCCCCACTCATCCTCTTTATAGCAGCCATATCCCCCTTTATAGTGGCCCTATAAACCGATCCCTTAACTCTATAATCTGAGCTAAAATCATTGGTAGCCTTCTGCAAATCCTCAAACTTATACACTGTAACTGAATGGACTGCAGAATAAAGGCCCTCTGAAAAATCAGATTTGGAGTAAGTATCAGATGCCACTTTCTTGACAGGAAGTGAGGTATGATCATTTTTATCCAAATTTTCAGTTTTCTTATCCATTGGGGTTCTTTTTCGTCGAGCCAGGAACCAAACCAGAAGGCCGCAAAGCAAAAGAACAAGAATTCCAGCTCCTATTCCAATCCCAACAAAGACCCACTTCTTAGATCTGGGTTTTGTACCAGGTGGTGGCGAGCTTGACGGAGGAGATGAAGGAGGAGGAGGCGGACTTCTTGTTAGAGCTGCAGTCGGTTCTCTCTCTAAAGGAATTAACAATGGAGTGAAGGGATAGATTACCATATCACCCGATAACTCGTTCGCATAAACAACGCTCCCCTGATCTACCCCGAATCTCTCACTGATTAAAGAAACATAATCACCCCAAGTAACAATATAGGTAACCAAGTAATTGACTCCATTGCTGCTCTGGTTTCTAGATGGGCAAGCACATCTAAGAGGGACTAAGAACCTCAAATTAACACTCAAATTTCTGCTATCATAATATGGATTTTGTTGTATCAGAGCTTCACAGGTTGTTAAGCCCTCATATGTGTTGTTCGCTATGGTAAGATAGGTATCATGCTGTTTGATGATGTAAGAGGTGTTGTGCTGGTAAAATGAACCAGAGCATGAGCAATTTAGAGGAACTATAACCAGTGAATCTGTGAGGATAGTTGATGTGTCAGTTAAACCATTGAACTCTGCAATTTCTTGGGCATCAGAGTTCAGGAGATAGGCGATGGAGATAGGGGAATTGAAGGTGGGTTGGGAGCGAAAGAAGAGGAAGGTTTTGCAGGAGCTGATACCATTGCAAGTGTAGCCAAGGTTGCGGGAGATATTGGTCCTGCAGGAGAATTGGCTGTTGTTGAGGTAGGTTTGCTGGGCTTCAGTGGATTGTAGACAGAGAAAAGAAAGGATGAAGAACCACAAGAAAGAGGACATGTCTGTGAATTGGAGGAGATGGTGATTGGGTTCTGAGTAGTGGTCTTCTTCTATCATTATCAGATACAATCCAATAGATTAAGAAATTAAGAGAGTGAGAGAGAAGTCACTGATAGTGTTCTGTAATTGCAAGGAAGGGACGTAGCCAATGCTAAGTCTTCCCACTATAATAAATTGGTCCTCGCAAGGAAGGGACATAGTCAATGCTAAGTCTTCCCACTACATAATAAATTGGTCCTCGTTTTTTTGAAAAAAGTAACAAGTAACAAAAGAGCGAAATTTGTGGATGATTGAGAACACTATTAAGAAAATCAACTCAGCCAAAGTACCTAACCGATTTCACGTTAAGTTGAGAGAAAGGAATAACTAAAGGAAATAAGGTATATATAGGGAAAAAGCTTTCATACGGTTGAGGCCCTAAACAATCAAATTAGGGGGCACCACAATAATTCACTAGAAGAAGCTGTTTCGATGCTGAAAAACCCTCAAATCTGATCATCTCGACCTTGAGATACATAGGCGTAAAAAAAAATGGACTTTAAATATTAGAAATAATGCATCTTGTAATATATTATCTACACCGTCAATTTTCAAGATTTGCAAGTGTTCATAGATCTAATTGATCTATACTATTTTTGAAGCTTTAAATTTTACAATTAGAGAAGAAAATAAATTTTTAGGTCATCATAAAAATTTTCAGTAATGAAACAATATCTTTCGATACTATTTGAAGGTACATCTTATTTTGATTGTTTAGGCCCTCAACCTTATACAAACCACACCCTGAAGTTTCTATAAGGCCTAAGCTTTATTAATACCAAATAAAGCCTCAACTCAAATCTTATCGGGAAAGCACTTTCGGCAACAAAAATTTCCATGACGGCTCTAAAATCAATTTCCAACACTGACAATAAAATTTGAAACTTAAAAAAGCATACAGATCTTGACAATAAAATTTGAAACTTAAAAACACATACAAATCTTGAATACTTATTTTTAGGGCGAAATGAACGGTGTAGATAATTTTTTAAAATATAAACTATTTAATCCTTTTTTTTTTTACACAATTATAATGTTCAAATTGAGATGATCGATGTAAAGGTTTTCCAATGCTTGAATTACAATTTTCAATGAGTTAGTAAGTGAGGCTTTACTTATTTTGATAGGGCTGCAGCCCTAGCAAAACATTTTCACCTATTCTTGCCACCCGTACTCACCAGCACTAGAGGGGGGTACTCACCAGTACTAAAGTGGGGTACTGGCAAAAGGATATGAGGCGTCAACAAGTGATTGAGGTATCAAATCCTGCCTATTGCAGGTCATTTTGTGAACCCGTGTTCAAACCTCAGTTTAATGGTGCGTGTTGTTTTAATAAAAAAAGAATCCCTCTTAATTGTTTAATTAAATCATAATAGTGCTTATTTTTTTTAATAAAAAAGGAACCCATTGTTCAAACCTCAGTTTAATAGTGCGTATTTTTTTATTAAAAAAAGTAATCCCTCTTAATTGTTAAGTAAACCATAATGGTATTTATTTTTTCAATAAATAAAGGAACTCTTCTTGTTCATACTTCAGTTTAATGGTGTGCATTTTTTAATTAAAAAAAGGAACCCCTCTTAGTTGTTTAATTAAACCATAATGGTGCATATTTTTTTATTAAAAATAAAAAGGAACCGCTCTTTATTGTTTAATTAAACCAGTGACCATAAGAATGGTTTAAACCTTAAGAACGTTTTTTGTTTGATAAAATATGACAGGGCTTATTTTTTCATAAAATAAGAATCTTAGATGTTTAATTAAACCATCATGGTGCTTATTTTTTATTAAAAAAAGAGAAACCCCTCTTAATTGTTTAATTAAACCATTGAACCTTAAGAATGGTTTAAACCTTAAGAACGCTTATCTTTTAATAAAATAAGATGGGGCATATTTTTTCACAAAATAAGAAACGTCTATTTTAAATTAAAAAATAGACGTGAGACTGCTGAGACATACATAAATGACCAATAAGTCAATTAGACCCGTGTTTCTATTAATATCTCTCTCTTGCTTATACAACGGCAAATTAATCTACAAAATGAAAATAGAATTTATTTTTATTTTTTAGATTAATAATATTTTTTATAATTTACAAAAAATAAAATACATATAGTTAAGTTTTAATTACATATAATTACAAAAATGATCCCATATAATTAATTTACAAAAATTAGTACAATTATATTGAATCATTATTATTTATTTATGTTAATAACTTAATATAATTATGTTAAACTTATGTTAGTATAATTATGTGAATATTATTATTACATTAAAAATTATGTAAGTACAATTATGTATGAGATGTTAAAATAGCACAAACCAATGTAGGTTAACGCATTTTTTCAAAAAGTTCGAAAAGCCCAAAAATATAATTAAAGAGATTAATTGTTTCCAAAAATCTCAAAAAATAATTTAGTTTTTTTCTAAAAAATTTAAAAATTAATTGTACAACTCTTGCTTTAAAAAGGTACTAGATAGTTACGAAAGTTAAAAAGAAATATCGTTAATGGTATGGAAAACACAAACCAATGCATGTTTAAAAAAGTAAAACATAAATCATCAATGTTCAACCCATAAACAGGAGAAAGAATTAAAAAGAAAAATAACAAAAGAAAAATTAATAGAAAAAACAAGGGGATGTACTAGGAACTATTTATAAAGTACATTGTATTGTTTTTATTAAATAAGGTATTTCATCCATAAAAGGCCAACAATTTTTTACTGCGAAATGAATGTAATGGACAACATACACTTGGACATTAGACAGTGTTTCCGTATATACATCTTTTCGGTAAAATAATGAAAAGCCATAACGCAACACCCATATTTTTTTTTGAAATACAAAAAATTAGATTTAAAAATCGGGTCACCAATCAGTTTTTAAAAACCTTGCTTTCTAACGTAAAGCCACAACCATTGCTGACCATACTTATAAATGAGTGAAAATGAATGAATAGCTGAAATGTCTTCATATGTTTAATCTTAAGAAGCTACTTCAGAAAATTGCTTTTTGGGTATGAAAAGAAAACGCACTGTTATTTTTAGAGCTTTCCTCAAGAGAGAATCTTTTATGAGGTCTAAAGTTCTCTCTCTTCTTTTTTTTTCTTTTCCTTTGGTGGGAGGGAGGGTGAATGGGCCTGAAGTTCTTGTTATTTTCTCATATACCTGTACTTTGTACTTCGTGACCAAAGTGCTGAGAGAGAGAGAGAGAGAGAGAGAGAGAGAGAGAGAGAGAGAGAGAGAGAGA